ACCCTTTGTTCTGATTAAACAACTCGAATATCTTACTCCATGACTCAGCGAAATTATACCATCACAAAAGATCTTCTAGCTTTGCACAAACAGTTTTTCTTTTAAGAACATCAGACGGTGGAATCGTCTCCCAGAGAGTCTGAAACCGGCTGTAGAGAGAAAACTGTTCTCCTCCAATCTGAAGAGCTTGATTCCTGCTCGCCAACTGTGTCAGCATCTACGGAAGAGGATTAGGGCCTCTGAAAAAAAAATTAACTGATTTTTAAATTTAATTTTAGTTTAACATGGGGAAAAAAGTCAGAATTTTGACTTTAATCTAAAAATTCTGACTTTAATCTCAGAATTCAGACTTTTTTATTGTCAGAATTCAGTCAGAATTCTGAGAAAAAAGTCAGAATTCTGAGATTAAAGTCTGAATTTTGAGATTAAAGTCAGAATTCTGAGAAAAAAGTCAGAATTCTGAGATTAAAGTCAGAATTTTGAGATTAAAGTCAGAATTCTGAGAAAAAAGTCGGAATTCTGACTTTTTTTATTGTCAGAATTCAGTCAGAATTCTGAGATTAAAGTCAGAATTTTAAGATTAAAGTCAGAATTTTGAGATTAAAGTCAAAATTCTGAGAAAAAAGTCAGAATTCTGAGATTAAAGTCAGAATTCTGAGATTAAAGTCAGAATTCTGAGAAAAAAGTCAGAATTTTGAGATTAAAGTCAGAATTCTGAGATTAAAGTCTGAATTTTGAGATTAAAGTCAGAATTCTGAGAAAAAAGTCAGAATTCTGAGATTAAAGTCAGAATTTTGAGATTAAAGTCCGAATTCTGAGAAAAAAGTCGGAATTCTGACTTTTTTTATTGTCAGAATTCAGTCAGAATTCTGAGATTAAAGTCTGAATTTTGAGATTAAAGTCAGAATTCTGAGAAAAAAGTCAGAATTCTGAGATTAAAGTCAGAATTTTGGAGTTAAAGTACGAATTCTGAGAAAAAAGTCGGAATTCTGACTTTTTTTATTGTCAGAATTCAGTCAGAATTCTGAGATTAAAGTCAGAATTTTAAGATTAAAGTCAGAATTTTGAGATTAAAGTCAGAATTCTGAGAAAAAAGTCAGAATTCTGAGATTAAAGTCAGAATTCTGAGATTAAAGTCAGAATTCTGACTTTTTTTATTGTCAGAATTCAGTCAGAATTTTGAGATTAAAGTCAGAATTCTGAGAAAAAAGTCAGAATTCTGAGATTAAAGTCAGAATTTTGAGATTAAAGTCAGAATTCTGAGATTAAAGTCAGAATTCTGAGATTAAAGTCAGAATTCTGACTTTTTTTATTGTCAGAATTCAGTCAGAATTCTGAGATTAAAGTCAGAATTCTGAGATTAAAGTCAGAATTCTGAGATTAAAGTCAGAATTCTGAGAAAAAAGTCAGAATTTTGAGATTAATGTCAGAATTCTTAGAAAAAAGTCAGAATTCTGAGATTAAAGTCAGAATTCTGACTTTTTTTATTGTCAGAATTCAGTCAGAATTTTGAGATTAAAGTCAGAATTCTGAGATTAAAGTCAGAATTCTGAGATTAAAGTCAGAATTCTGAGAAAAAAGTCAGAATTCTGAGATTAAAGTCAGAATTTTGAGATTAAAGTCAGAATTCTGAGAAAAAAGTCGGAATTCTGACTTTTTTTATTGTCAGAATTCAGTCAGAATTCTGAGATTAAAGTCAGAATTTTAAGATTAAAGTCAGAATTTTGAGATTAAAGTCAAAATTCTGAGAAAAAAGTCAGAATTCTGAGATTAAAGTCAGAATTTTGAGATTAAAGTCAGAATTCTGAGAAAAAAGTCAGAATTTTGAGATTAAAGTCAGAATTCTGAGATTAAAGTCAGAATTTTGAGATTAAAGTCCGAATTCTGAGAAAAAAGTCGGAATTCTGACTTTTTTTATTGTCAGAATTCAGTCAGAATTCTGAGATTAAAGTCTGAATTTTGAGATTAAAGTCAGAATTCTGAGAAAAAAGTCAGAATTCTGAGATTAAAGTCAGAATTTTGGAGTTAAAGTACGAATTCTGAGAAAAAAGTCGGAATTCTGACTTTTTTTATTGTCAGAATTCAGTCAGAATTCTGAGATTAAAGTCAGAATTTTAAGATTAAAGTCAGAATTTTGAGATTAAAGTCAGAATTCTGAGAAAAAAGTCAGAATTCTGAGATTAAAGTCAGAATTCTGAGATTAAAGTCAGAATTCTGACTTTTTTTATTGTCAGAATTCAGTCAGAATTTTGAGATTAAAGTCAGAATTCTGAGAAAAAAGTCAGAATTCTGAGATTAAAGTCAGAATTTTGAGATTAAAGTCAGAATTCTGAGAAAAAAGTAAGAATTCTGACTTTTTTTATTGTCAGAATTCAGTCAGAATTCTGAGATTAAAGTCAGAATTCTGAGATTAAAGTCAGAATTCTGAGATTAAAGTCAGAATTCTGAGATTAAAGTCAGAATTCTGAGAAAAAAGTCAGAATTTTGAGATTAATGTCAGAATTCTTAGAAAAAAGTCAGAATTCTGAGATTAAAGTCAGAATTCTGACTTTTTTTATTGTCAGAATTCAGTCAGAATTTTGAGATTAAAGTCAGAATTCTGAGATTAAAGTCAGAATTCTGAGATTAAAGTCAGAATTCTGAGAAAAAAGTCAGAATTTTGAGATTAAAGTCAGAATTCTTAGAAAAAAGTCAGAATTCTGAGATTAAAGTCAGAATTCTGAGATTAAAGTCAGAATTCTGAGATTAAAGTCAGAATTCTGAGATTAAAGTCAGAATTCCGAGATTAAAGTCAGAATTCTGAGAAAAAAGTCAGAATTCTGAGATTAAAGTCAGAATTCTGAGATTAAAGTCAGAAATCTGAGATTAAAGTCAGAATTCTGAGATTAAAGTCAGAATTTTGAGATTAAAGTCAGAATTCTGAGATTAAAGTCAGAATTCTGAGAAAAAAGTCAGAATTTTGAGATTAAAGTCAGAATTCTTAGAAAAAAGTCAGAATTCTGAGATTAAAGTCAGAATTCTGACTTTTTTTATTGTCAGAATTCAGTCAGAATTTTGAGATTAAAGTCAGAATTCTGAGATTAAAGTCAGAATTCTGAGATTAAAGTCAGAATTCTGAGAAAAAAGTCAGAATTTTGAGATTAAAGTCAGAATTCTTAGAAAAAAGTCAGAATTCTGAGATTAAAGTCAGAATTCTGAGATTAAAGTCAGAATTCTGAGATTAAAGTCAGAATTCTGAGATTAAAGTCAGAATTCCGAGATTAAAGTCAGAATTCTGAGAAAAAAGTCAGAATTCTGAGATTAAAGTCAGAAATCTGAGATTAAAGTCAGAATTCTGAGATTAAAGTCAGAATTCTGAGATTAAAGTCAGAATTCTGAGATTAAAGTCAGAATTCTGAGAAAAAAGTCAGAATTTTGAGATTAAAGTCAGAATTCTTAGAAAAAAGTCAGAATTCTGAGATTAAAGTCAGAATTCTGAGATTAAAGTCAGAATTCTGAGATTAAAGTCAGAATTCTGAGATTAAAGTCAGAATTCCGAGATTAAAGTCAGAATTCTGAGAAAAAAGTCAGAATTCTGAGATTAAAGTCAGAATTCTGAGATTAAAGTCAGAAATCTGAGATTAAAGTCAGAATTCTGAGATTAAAGTCAGAATTTTGAGATTAAAGTCAGAATTCTGAGATTAAAGTCAGAATTCTTAGAAAAAAGTCAGAATTCTGAGATTAAAGTCAGAATTCTGACTTTTTTTATTGTCAGAATTCAGTCAGAATTTTAAGATTAAAGTCAGAATTTTGAGATTAAAGTCAGAATTCTGAGAAAAAAGTCAGAATTCTGAGAAAAAAGTCAGAATTCTGAGATTAAAGTCAGAATTTTGAGATTAAAGTCAGAATTTTGAGATTAAAGTCAGAATTTTGAGATTAAAGTCAGAATTCTGAGATTAAAGTCAGAATTCTGAGATTAAAGTCAGAATTCCGAGATAAGTCAGAATTCCGAGATAAGTCAGAATTTTGAGATTAAAGTCAGAATTCTGAGATTAAAGTCAGAATTCTGAGAAAAAAGTCAGAATTTTGAGATTAAAGTCAGAATTCTTAGAAAAAAGTCAGAATTCTGAGATTAAAGTCAGAATTCTGACTTTTTTTATTGTCAGAATTCAGTCAGAATTTTGAGATAAAAGTCAGAATTTTGAGATTAAAGTCAGAATTCCGAGATTAAAGTCAGAATTCCGAGATTAAAGTCAGAATTCTGAGATTAAAGTCAGAATTCCGAGATAAGTCAGAATTCCGAGATTAAAGTCAGAAATGTAATTTTTCCCCCATGGTAAACTGAAATAAAATAAAAAATTAGTTAACTTTTTTTTTTTTTTTTTCAGTGGCCCTAATCCATTTCCTTAAGCATCAGTAAAGATGATCTGTAAACCGTTTTACCACTGACTGTACTTATATTTATATCTAAATGATATCTTAGTATTTCAGAATAAAACTAGTTTGTTTTGTAATGTTTTTTAAAATGTGTTTACCTGCCTTGGGACTATGGATGGAAACTAGCAATAGCTAACTCTGTTACATGACATTGTTCCTTTTAGGCAAGACACATTTATTTGTATAGCACAATTCAATACAAAGACATTGCAAAGTGCTTTACATGATTAAAATAAAGGAAAATAAAACGGAATCAAAGCAAAAACAAAAAGATTAAGATTAATGCATTTTGTACACCGTTCTTGTTTAAAAAAAAAAACTAATGAACTAAACTAAAAGAAGCATGATTGTGAATGCATTCATGAATCGGCAAACAAAGTTATTAGCAAATACAAAAAAAAAAAACTGTAAATGTCGGCCAGAAATATCGTCTGACCGATACATCGGTCTATTTCTAGTCTGAGCCGACAGTTTTACCACTGATCTTATTTATCGCACTTTAAGAAAGAAGAAATCTCTTTGTAAGGAACTAATATGTATCTGCTTGTTTATTTTATAATTGTTTTTTTATATATATTCCACAGGGGGAGTGTGGTGAGTGGGGGACAGGACCACTGCCAGGGCCCCACCCAGAAACAGGAGGGCCAGGGGAGCTGCTGTGGAAGGAGGAGTCTTTCAGCTGGTAAATGCTTCCAATACATCTGTTACTGATGCTAGTTATATACCATCCTCTATGCTGTACATTTAATTTTAAAGGTCATATGAAAAACAAGGTAGTTTTTTTTTTTTTTAACTTATCATAAAGTTTATATTTGTGCTGCAGAAACAATGTAAAAAGATAAGTGAGATATCAAGATTTTCTTTTGGTGTTAAAGAAAAGACGTCTTCCTCCTGCTGACGGCAGCAGCCCTCCGTCAGCAGGAGCCATCCTTCCTCCATGGTTTCTGAACGCGTTTCCCCAGAGAATAAAGTCCCACAGCTCACATTGACCTCATTATAAAAATAGCTCCTCTATCCAGCAATCCTAGTTTCCCTTTTCTACCCAGCCGTAGACACTGAACTGATCCGTCCTGCTCTCTTGTCTCTCTATCAGTGTTTGCATTGGACTTAACGTGAGATTTAAGCTTATGCAAGTGCTTATAATAGTAAAAAAAAAAATCTTTCCCCTAACCCTGCCATGCCCGGTCTGGCCCTAATCTGTGATGCCTTTTAATCAGCAATACCTCTGTGCTGCTTTTCTGATCCCTTTGCCTCCCAACATGCCCTTTCTTTTCTTAAAAAAGGAAGCTGCTTTCCTCTTTTATAGCATGTCTGTTTAATTTAACAGCAGCATCGCTGATCAGTGATGTTCACGACCGACTTCGGTCCTTTCAGACCTTATTTGCAGTATCAAAGCAGATGCTTTATTATGAGATTCAGCAAAGAATAAGAAACGCTGATGATGAGGAGTTTAGTTGGTCAGAAATCGTGTTAAAATTGTCTCAAATAGCCAGCTGCTAATGTTGAGTTCGTTAGGGTTAGGCGATTAGATGAACAAAATCTGAGCTTTTTTGATCTGGATAGAGAAGCACCCGCCCACTGGAATACATTGGACGAGCAGTATGGAGGAATGTTTCTGTCAAAATTATTCAATCAAAAAAATTTGAACTTCAAAACTTTTTGCACTTCAAAAAATTTTTCATTCAAATTAAACAATTTGGACTTCAACATTTTTTTTCACTTAAAAAAACAAAAAAAACAAAATAAAAAAAATAAAAAATAAAAAATTTATTTATGGGGTAATTTTTTATTTTTTTGCATTTACACATTTTTTTTTTTTTTTTTGATTGAAACAACTTTTGGGGAATTGAGTGATTAAGACGCAAATGTCCTACCCATGTCTCTGAGCAAGACCCTTAAAGGAATAGTACACCCAAAACATGATTAGCCTTCATTTTCTACTCACCCCCCATGCTGAACAACACTCTGGAGTACTTTTTTGATATCTCAAATGCATCTGGAGATCTGGGAGGCGTCTTGCTGTCTGCTGACATTCAAATAATGGAGGTCTATGGCGCCCGAGGCAGAAAGGTCCATAAAAGTCCACAAAAAAACGTGTCAATATTCCTCCATACTGCTCGTCCAATGTATTCCGAGTGTCCTGAGTGGGTAGCATCCAGAATTTACTCGAAACGAAGTCATTTAGAATGTTTTTAGAGCATAAACAGTAGTGTATAGGATTTCCTAAAAGCGCGTTCACGAGTCTACGGAAACCGTGGCAGACCAAACCAGATGAAAGTGCGCATTCAGCTAGGCAAAGAACTCATGCTCTTCCTCAACACTGAAGTCCTCAGACGTTTTTCTTTCGTTGCTTCTTTCTTTGCACAGGTAAACAGCACATTTCTTCTTCTACGCTTGCATTATCGGCGGAGCAGACGCTGAATGCGCACTTTCATCTGGTTTGGTCTGCCGCGGTTTCCGTAGACTCGTGAACGCGCTTTTAGGAAATCCTATACACTATTGTTTATGCTCTAAAAACATTCTAAATGACTTCGTTTCGAGTAAATTCTGGATGCTACCCACTCAGGACACTTGGAATACATTGGACGAGCAGTATGCAGGAATATTGACACGTTTTTTGTGGACTTTTATGGACCTCTCTGTCTCGGGCACCAAAGACCTCCATTATTTGAATGTCAGCAGACAGCAAGAAGCCTCCCAGATCTCCAGATGCATTTGAGATATCAAAAAAGTACTCCAGAGTGTTGTTCAGCATGGGGGTGAGTAGAAAATGAAGGCTAATCATGTTTTGGGTGTACTATTCCTTTAACCTCACACTGCTCCCCGGGTGCCACACAATGTAAGATACTTTTTAAACTTGGTTTTACTAAAGCTAATACTGTGTTTTGTCGCTTGATTCATGAGCAGCGCTAAAAGCGTAATCATCTCTTCTCTGTTGGATCATAATTAAATATTTGTGTCCAGAAATGCCTAAAGGATTTTAAAAATGGAAACCGTTAAACACAGCCATGATGGGTCGCACCTCCGGCTTCCAGGATTAGTAAGGTGCTACCTGTGTAGACCCTTGGGACACGCCCCCTCACCTCCGACTCATCACCTCCCCTCCCCACCTTTGCTGTTTATCCATCTCTGGGCCCTTTGTGTCCCTGAACCTGCTCTAATTAGCATCCCACACAACTCTGTTTATTTACTCAGGTACCTTCAGACGTGGAGGGAGGTGAGAATGAAAGAGTCGGGGAGAAGGGAGAGGAGGTAAAAGCTGGAAGGAGAGAGGGCTGGGAACAGGAAGAGAGGGAGAGACGATGCGGAGAATCAAAGAGCTGTGAGACTCCCTCATTCCGGATGAAGGTTGTAATGATGGTTAGAAAGACATGACGCTCGGAGTCGAGAAAGTTGAGAGATGGAGAAGTTTTCCGCCTCTCTATGCCTCCCTTCTGCCTTTTGCCAGCGTTTCATCTGAGATGCAGAGCGCCTAAAATTAGCAAGTTGGCAGCTTCCTTCCTCTCTTCCTTTCAGGGCTCCCATTAACGATCTCCCATTACATCCAGAACACTTTGAGGTGGGACCGATTGAACAGTTGTTTCAGTGCAAAACCAACCTCAGTTTTTATGGATACTACAGAAAACTGAACTTTTTTTGTATTATTTGTTATCACAAGTGGCCATTTGCCAGGAAATGGATGAGAAAATGAAAAAAAAAAAAAATCCACTGGACTTTGTTTCCAAGTTTGAAGACGTTTCACTTCGGATCCAGGAAGCTTTTTCAATTCAAAATGTCAGGAATAGCGTTGAGTTCGAGGTTTGATACAGTAGCCGACCAAAGCCTGGTTTTGGTTTTGAAAAACCAGGCTTTGGTTTGGAACAGACGAAGGGGTCCACCCGTTTGGAATGGGGGTCATTTGGCTTCTTTTGTTAGACTGCAATGCCTCGTACCGTCTAAGTATCACTTGTCATCTCTGGCACTTGGATGGGTATGGGGCATTGCAGTCCAACAATTGAATTGAAAAGCTTCCTGGATGGGACTCCGCCAGATGGATTTGCTCCGCATATCCATCTGGAAACCTTCCGTTGAAGTAATTTTGGGAAGGGGCGAAAATACTGGTTAGCTGATTGGCCTATGTTGGTGATAGACGGGCCAAATAAACCAATCAGATCAACGAAGCATATGACGTACTAACAGCGCGACGACGAAGAGGAGCCAATTGATAGATCAAACTCTTGCCGAAACCAGTTGGGAGAAGAGCAAAAACATCTTTTCCTCTGAGAAAAGCCTCCAGAGCAGTGTTTTGCTCTTCTTTCAGTGAAGAAATACTCTGTAATTCCGATAAAACTTGCTCAATAGCTACGCTAACGCTAGTTTCATCGGCTGAAGCCGCCATGTTCTTTAGACCGAACTGTCGCGCTTCTCGTTGCGTCACACCTCAACCCGCCTCAAAGCCAACGCTGATTGGACGTTCGTTTGGTGAACGGCTCCAAATTTTCTTCAACAGAGAGTCTCCAGACTGATCTGCGAGTGAAACCTTGAAAGCTCACGAGATCAGGATGGTCTCACGAGGCTAAAGCGAAACGTCTTCAAACTTGGAAACAAAGTCCAGTGGATTGTTTTAAAATTTTTTGCAATGACTATGACCTGGATGACTGAGAACCTTCACCAGCAAAAAGGTAGAGTCTTAGCGTTTGTCCCAATTCAGGTGCTTCATCCTGCATTTGTTGACTGATTACGTCATAGCGCTGCTCTAAAGAATGTCCCAATCCTTCTAAGACTCCTGCTAATGCATTCTTTATTTGATTTTCCTTCTGAACCTACCATTTCCTATGATTCACTGCAGGTTAAGGTCAAGCTCAGGCAGCAGTGATGGAAAACCATGGCAAAAAAATGTGAATAAAAGTTGAAAAATTAAACACTCTAGGGCAGAAAATTAAACTTTCAAGATGTTTTAAGATGAGAGTATAGGTTTGTTGAACTCTCATATGTACTGGCTTTATTAAGATCCCACTTAATTTACGAGCGGATCTGCTCACCCTGCCTAGTCGGAGTCTCTCTATATGTAGTCACAGAAACCGAGGGGATCTGCTCACCCTGCCTAGTCGGAGCCTCTCTATATGTAGTCACAGAAACCGAGGGGATCTGCTCACCCTGCCTAGTCAGAGTCTCTCTATATGTAGTCACAGAAACCGAGCGGATCTGCTCACCCTGCCTAGTCGGAGCCTCTCTATATGTAGTCACAGAAACCGAGGGGATCTGCTCACCCTGCCTAGTCGGAGCCTCTCTATATGTAGTCACAGAAACCGAGGGGATCTGCTCACCCTGCCAAGTCGGAGCCTCTCTATATGTAGTCACAGAAACCGAGAGGGTGTGCTCACCCTGCCTAGTCAGAGTCTCTCTATACAGGTGCTGGTCATAAAATTAGAATATCATGAAAAAGTAGATTGATTTCAGTAATTCCATTTAAAGAGTGAAACTTGTATATTATATTCATACATTACATACAAACTCATATATTTCAGATGTTTATTTTGTTTAATTTTGATGATTACAAATGACAACAAATGAAAATCTCAAATTCATCATATCAGAAAATTAGAATATTACTGAAGACCAATAAAAACAAAGGATTTACAGAAATGTTGGCCAACTGAAAAGTATGAACATGAAAAGTATGAGCATGTACAGCACTCAGTA